GAATAATATTGCCGCAGACTACAAAATAATTCTATGTACGTACGAAGACATCAATAGAATGGTGCCAATATTTCAAAGAGTAAGAGAAGTCCAAACCAATTGAAGCGCGTACGAAGACAACAATAGAATGGTGCCAATAATTCAAAGAGTAAGAGGAGTACAAACCAATTGAAGTGCATTGAAGAATTTCTTCCATAATGCATGTTTGAAGAAAGTGAATGGTGTAGACGTATGATGCATTGTATTTTCAAGCATAGTTTCTAGATTATTATGATCATGTATTGAATCAACAAAAGATCATGGATTGGTTTGAAAAAAATTTGTTGATATGTGGTGCAATATCGATTACACGACCTCCTCATCCTCCGCATCCACCGACGATTGATTCAACTTGGCTTTCTTCTTTGACCAATCGCTAACTGTTGACGGTGATGAAAACTTGAGTCGAATCTTGACATCATTGGATTGCATTTGCGACAGAACGTCCATGAAATCAATCATAGATTTAGGAAGCTTTCTCCATGTAATCATATGTGCTTCCAAACTATTGATCTTGGTCGTGATGGCTGAATTACACTATAGACATCTCAACTTCAAGATCTTTTCATTGCCTATAGCAAACTTGTTGGAATCAAATAGATTTCATATAGAGTTCTGAGGTCGGCTGTTGAATGCAGACGTTGACATATATATATATATATATATATGATATGTGGCGAATGATTTGATATGAAATTTGAATTGCAATCAAATTTTAGAATTGCAATTGAAACTCACACAAAATCGCAATTGCCAAAGTTCACAATCTCACTGGTACATCACCATTGTCAATTACAAGTAAAAATCAACAACTTTAGATCAGCCCATGTGATAGAGTGTGCATTTCGCCCGTACTATCTTTCATAATGCTCTCTGTAGAATTTGTACCTTTGACCCACACAAAATCGCAATTGCTAGAGTTTGCAATCTCAATGATGCATTTTCATTATCAATTACAGTGAAATATTGACTAATTCAGATTAATCCACACTCACATTGTGTGGATTTTGCCTACGCTACCTTTCACAATGCTTTTTGTAAAATCTGTAACTTCGAGCTTGTTCATTTATTTCCGTAATGATGTTGGTGAGATTAGAGTGGTGACTCCAAAGAGAGTTTTGTAGCTTGTAGGTTATACTGCTTTTTGACAATCGAATTGCCCGGCCACACACAACCTACTAACTCCCTTCGACAAATATAAATCGATTGCCTGCCTTTCTTCTCGAAATCAGAAGTATCTGCCACATCATTTAGCAATCTTCCAAATAGAAACATCAATTGTTCGCATAGTTTATCTCAAGAAAACTATCAGGCTGATTTTGACAATCAACATACTGGCAGACTTAAAAAATTGTCAATTTTTGAGTTAACTCGCCTTGAACTTCATCCGATCCTCAAAAAACCTTCAAACCTTTATGTTAGTAGTTCATTGACACAAATTTGAGTTCAAACATACAAAAAATTGTCATCTAAACCGTGACTGCTATCACACAACCCCCAACCGGAACAAACTTGAGTTCAAACACACAAGTCTTGACTCACTTTAGAAAGTCTTGAACCGAAACAACACTCTGATATCATTTATAAGAGATAAAAATCAAAAAACATAATGACAAAACACTCAATTCAACAACCAACATGAAACACAAAAATAACCTGATTACTCTGTGTACGTAGGAGGGCTATATCAATAGTGAGGACTACGTCAACAATGAACACACTATGCTTTACTCCAGATTTTGTCACAAAAGATTCTATGTACATGGCAAAACTTAAGGTATTTAATCCCAGCCCAGTGAAGATGACCATCCAAGCTATTTATAGCTAAGTCTTGAGGTTACTATTTACTTGGAAATAACCTCCACAAGTGATTAGAATTATTACACACTATTAAATAGTATTTTTTTGTAAATGATTCCTATTGAATGATTATTTTGTGCGATATTTCCTATATGTTATTATTTTTTAGGCAGAAATCATTGGATATTTAAAATTTGTTATTATTTAAAAGCTTCATTCACAAACGTTATTAGCAAGAGTTTTGATTATTGTGAATACAAAGTTGTGATATAAAAAAGCACTAACCTACATTTAGATTAGACTTCTAAACAACAAAATGTCAATAAACGAATTTTTATTATTAAGTTTTAAATGAATAAAAAAAACCCAAAATAGAGTTATTTTTAATGTTGTGTTATAATTTAAAAAAATTAAAAGAAGTCCTTGCAAGCTATGAATAATCGATTTATTTCTTTAGTTTACATTAATGTTAATACTCATTTGAAAAATGAAAGTTGTGGATTTCAAAACAACAATATTGAATATTTATTTGTGCATATTTAATAAGTAATATTATTCAAAAATATTGAACTTTTTAAAAACAAATTGATCGCCATCATCTATGTATAGAACATATTATTTTAGAAAATATAAGTCAATGTGGAAAGTGATTGAAATTAGTTAATATCTTGAATACACTTAAATTGATTCAAATATAAGTACTTAAATTAGTAAATCTTGCTATGTAAGAGAAGTAATTGAATTTTTTTAAACCACAGACCTCGAGTTTTAGTAAAGCTTTTTTTATATAAATTGAACCTTAAAGTACTGAAACATATACTACTTTGTTAGAATTTTGGTTTCTGTATTCTCATTTCATTTTTCATTTTTTAAAATATAATATATTGTCTTTAAATGGATTTATATGTACAATTAAAAGACTAAAAAACCAGTTTTATATGGTTGTACATTTTTTTTTCATGTTTTGTAGTTCTATATTGATGTTAGATTTTGTATATGATTTTTATTCATATTGGATAGTCAACTTATGTGGTATAAAATTGAAAATTATATCCAACAAGTTCAAAGTACTATTTTATTTCTAATACTTTGATTTATATATTTTATATATATAATGTAGAACTGAAGCGTTAGTAATAATTACTTTTGAAGAAGCTCATGTATAATGATTCATTTGTTATTGAAAATATATTTGTTGGACGTCAAAATGAAAAAAAAACACCCGTTTACAAAAAATAAATCAATTTATGTTCAAATTTAATCATATTTGAAAATTTTCATAATCTAATAGATTGATTTTTGAATACAAAAATATGACACAATCTGATCTTATGGATAAAAAATTTAAAATAGAACCAAAATCTAAACTATGAGAATTTCAGTGTTGAATGCAGAACTATATGTTTTTAAACAATTTAATGTGTCAAGTCAATTCTTAATTAGGTTTGTGGTCTATGAACCCAATATTTGTGAAAAATTATTTGATGTGAACTATCCCATGCTTGTATATTGTGAACAAGAATAACTACTTGCGGGAATCTTTATATAATTGGATCATATTTTTACTCGACATAAAATTGGGTCTTATGGATTAGGAATTGAGGAAATATTATGGTTTGATATTGATACAAGTGAATAAATTTGTAGGTTATATGACAGAGCAGATATTGATATGAAAACCATGTGTTTATTATATGTCCAGGGTCTGAAGTGATTAGACTAACTCATTATTAAAATGTGGAGAATTCTCACTCTTTATTACAACTAGTGTGACTTATGGTTTAGGCTGATGTATTAGTGACGTCTTTATGATTTAGGTTGTTATATTGGTCAGTAGCCAGGTGTTTTCTAGGATGCTTTTTCAAGTCAGAGACTGAATGACTTAAAGTTTTTTTCAGAGTTTTGACTGGCTCGTTTGATCTGTTTACCATTTTTACTGTTGAAAATAAATGTTTATCAACTGCATTCTTAAAAGTTGTTGCAAGTTCGAACCCTTCTTTCTAATGTTTTCTCTTTCCCATCTTTGACTTTCACTTCATCCTATCAACACTATTTCATGTATATCCGAGTAAGTACACGAGAAAGGTTAATTGATTCACATACACCTCGCGATGTCAAGCATAGCAATTGTGAGAGACTTCGACTGTCTATATTGTTCATATGTTAGTACATCCCAAACTTCAAAAGATTTACATTCAGTGGTATATAGTATGTGAGACAGGAATTCCTGTCTCGTTTTGACTCGATCACTTTCTCGTCGGGCACCAAGATCGCTTGCTTCTAAGACAGAGCCGTGACTTCATCGCTTGACTGTCTTGCTGAGACAATGGGTTCAGAAGGTACAAAACTGCAGTCTTCTTTGACCGCGAACCGTTTGTACTCCCTGGAAGACGATGAGCGAGTGATGTCGTAGTACCAAGCATCGTTGAACAACAGACAGGAAGAAAACCTTCTACTACACAAGAAGAATCACACCCAGTGATCTAGATTAGGTGCAAGGCAAGTGGCCAAACTGTCATATTATGCACACGTGAGTAGAAAACGTACAGTCAACACAACAGCAATCTCAATCTCCAAGTCGACGTAAAAGCAGAAGAGAAATCTGAAAAATGTGTGAGGTAAACACAGAGAGAAAAGAGAGCAAAGTTTCACATTCATGACTAATCTCTTATTTACCTCAAAGAGGCAATTTGATTGAACCACGCAGTTAGTGGATGCGCTTGCACAGTCCCATCAATGCGAAGTAATCAACGTTTCCGTCATCGGGCATAAGGGTATAATGAGCTTAAGGGTCACAAGTTTCTGGAAGGTAGAAACTTACAAAGAAGACTTATGAAATCTTACTCCATCGAAATAAGTGATGTAGAACGTACATTTGAATAATAAGGGTGAACACTTGTGAGTGGAGACAACAGAACTATGGCGGTACTGTGAACTGTAGAGACTTGAATAACCATTCAGCAGAGTAAACCTGAAAAGTTATCTCAACAGTATATAACAATATGACCTTCAAGTAAGGTCGTGAAGGGGTCTTAGCTACTTACAAAGTACGTTCAGAAGACCTTGGACTTTGTAGGCTCTTTGAAAGCGAGAGAAACTCGTAATATGAAAGAGTGATGAACAAAGCATCGCAGAGAAAGAACAGGTTTAAGGAATCCGCGTTCAAACATACATCCTTAACACCGACATTTATTATTCCACTGCAATGTGCATATATTTTCCGTGGTTACACATTGATTCTTTGGGCAAAGACACGCACTGAGCACAGGCTCAACGAGATTAAATCTATACACAATGAAACTCGTGAATTAGAGGCATAATTCAGAAGAGTGCTTCCTTGAGAAAGCTATCTGTACAAGCTCCTCCTCACTTTCCTTTAGACTCGTGCTTAACAGTGATGAACCCATGTTGATCTTCTGATCCTGCCATGATGCTGATGCGGTACTTGGAATGGTTGAAGAGGCCAGGGGGAAAAATGTTCAAGAAGGAGTCTTCACGAGATTGGTAATAATCCGTAAGACTCACTACGTTCCTACAGTGCATGTGTATCTACCTCTATATGAATGACTGCTCTTTTCAAAGCATTCCTGACAACATCAGTCATCATGCTGTTGATTTCTTCGAAGCTGAACCTTGTCACAAGATTACAAGCACATGGAAAGATGATCCGGTCTCCACTGAGAATACCCAGTCTTCTGCTCCAATTAAAACTAATGCTAGCTAGGGGAATGAGCTTCTGGGGAATCATCTCCAAACAACTCTTGAATCATTCCATTCGTGGACAAAAGTTTATCATCAGCCTTCCTAGGAGCGGTGTCCATTGTCCCGACCCAAACCTCACTTTCGCAAGATGATAAAGAATTCTGCTGGTCATCGTCAAAACCGATTACCTTTTGAACTGAATTGTTCCTAATCGGAGATAGTGCTCCTTGGTCGTCTTTACCTGAGAAAGTAGCGTCCAGATCTCCATCTTGCTTCACAACGTCTCGATCATTGTCCGCCTCGTCCCAATGGGGATCCTCCCATGTTTTTACCTCCTGAAGCTCTTCTTCTCCCAGAACAGTGACTGGTAATTCTACATGCTTCTCCTCATCATGTTGTTCAAGAGTCCACTTGGTCGTCAACTGAACAGAGTGGAGTCTAACGTCTCTTTCTTCTCGTCTGGAGCTTCGATAATCCTGCTCTTCGTTCTCCAAGTTCAAATCCGACGAAGGGCAAAGATTCGTGTGCACAGAATCGGGGCCCTCACCCAAACTGTCCATATTCGTTGAGCAGTACACAAGGTTCACACCTCGAAGGTCACAGAACCCTGTATGTTCCAAAAGCTTACCGGACCTTTCTCCTCCTCCATAAGACTCGTTTAGCTGGTCTGTATCATCCTCTGCCTCACTGACCTCTTCGTCAGCTTCTTCATCAGGTTCCTCGCCAGAATCATAATCCTCACTGTCTTCACTATCACCCTCAGGTAGCTCTGTTTCATCATCGTCACTGTCAATTTGCCTCCCCTCCAGCCTATTTTGTACCGCTCGACGCTTAAGCATGAAGACATTAAAGTAGTAACTCACCAACTCCTTCATCTTCTTGCCAGGAAAGGCTTCAGGAAGATGTTCCCAAAAGTTCTTATCCAATGAGGGAGGGTTCATCTTCACGAGTGCTTTAAATGTTCGCTCTTCCTCCTTTGTCCAGCGATCCGATACACATTCTCCCATTTCATCAAATTTCCATGTATAGAAAGCTTGGCCTACTTCTCTTTCGAGTCGGAGTTTCTCTTGACGTACATGAGTTCTCACACAATCGATAGATTCCGGATCAAGACAAGTGCATGATATAGCCCTCCCTACACCTACTTGCATATCAGGATAAGAGGAGCTATTGAAGCCTGGTGGAGGCCAGACTTGCTTGCCAAACCAACGCTCGCTTTCTTCATCATCCTCGTCGCTACTTTGGGTTTCATCGCCAAGAGGCCCTTCCCTTTGACAAGAAGATTTCGTTTCAACGGACTTCTCAGGAGGTACGTGAGCCTGAAAATCGGATCCGATCGGTATCCTCTTCCGAGGCCGCTCAATCAAATTGTTGTAGTCTGAATATGCTGTCTCGATGTACGACGAGTGAAAATTACTCTGACGTGGCAAACGTTGACTGGTCTGACTAGACCAGTGATGTTGAGATTGAGGAGATGATCCTCTCTGCAAGTAGTGTGAAGATTCATGAAAAGACCTGTGCGAACCTGGAGATCCCGGATACCCATATTGCGCCACACGCTCTCTAGAGGCTCTGAATCGTTCAACAGACGGGTGATCGGACCGAGGCAATTCCTCGTAGTAATAAGATGTAGAATTTTGCTTGGCCTGCAACATTCCAGAATATAAAAGTGTAAGTACAGATGAATGGTTCTAATCATTTAAAAGAAATTAGCCTAAAAGAATAGTGATACTTTGAAATGAAACTGAGAACATCCCACTAAAGAGCCCCCCACTCAAAAACCAAAGGCATATTAAACTAATGAAAAGATATTTCTAATATTATTTTATTAGTCGTCCACTCAATAGGATCCTCACTCTTTACTTCTGTCCTATTTCTTACGTTTGCTTTCTCTAAATAAGCTGTTTGGATTCAGTAATTCATGAAATAATGGATTTACTACAAGGAGTAAATTGGATTTGGAATTAACGTGGATTATAGAAAGAAGTTTGGAATTTCCTTTCATTTTCGGGTTATCTTGGTTGGGTTACCTTTGTGACTAAAGAGTCATCAGTGATTATGCTTAGGGTTTTGAATTTGTGTTCGCGGACTCAAAATTGACCTTGAAAGTTGTATATATTTCTAGTGAGTGAGTAAAGAATCCAGAGTCAGAAAGTTCATCTTCCAAGTGGTGATCTCTTTATTACTGATAACACCTCTAAGTGCTGGGTTACTAAAAATGTAAGTTGGAGTTGGAATTGTTGCTGATTTCAAGTTGGTCTAAGTTCAAGCGTGGAGAATGTCAGTGATATACTAGAGGAAGGTGGGGACGACGTCAAGTCCGCATGGCCCTTCGGGGCTGGGCTACACACGTGCTACTATGGCCCAACTACAGAGTTCTACCCTCAATATTGCTGCTAATAATCCACCATGAAGGTAAGAGACATTAGTGGTGAGCAATGACAAGTGTTTGCGACTCCATAGGACCTGCTGTGGTAGAAACTTCATTCAAAAGTGATCCAAATAAATCACACTATCAAACTGTCGTTCAAAACATGTCATATCCGGTATGCCATTATCCCGCGTCGTTACTCGTTGGTAATAAATGAGTAGGGGAAATTAAAATGAAGAAGATGATGTATCCCTCTTCCGTTCCGAAGGACTTTCCAGGAGTATAGGGCTAATCCAATACATAGGCTTGGCTGCTCCGCACCTTAAGGCGTGGGACTGAGCCCGAACCCCGTGGTGCAATGCTCGTACTCCCCATTTAAGTGAAAGGTAGGCGGGTAATACGGACCCTCGGACCATGATCGGGTGGCAAGAGGAAAGCTCTTGACAGCAAGCATCAGTTAATCTATGTACGTACTACAACTTGATTTCTGCGGGATGACTGGTACAACATCATCGTTATTGCGCCAGATCAAAGAGTACATGTACTGACTTCAGTTGTAGTGCAGGTCTTTCGGAAGAGTAGATAAGTTGATCAGGAGTACAGTGCGGAAGAGTTAGATCAAAAAGCGCATACCATTTATACTGCGTGAGCAAGTTGACACTGTGAATCTTGTAAGTAAACCATCATGGTGTAAAACTTGAACGTGCCGTTAAAAACGTACTAGATAATAGGGTACAGGATCTACCGTAGGGATTTGGTACGCAAGGGACCAAAGCATCTCATGTCCAGGTGGTACGTCTCAAAGTGGCAAAATGAAATGAAAGAAGCATGAAGACAAAGAGAGAGAAGCCGGGACTGAACCCTGATAGGAAAAAAAAGACAAATCTGGGAACGAAACAAGGAGCTATACGGAAGCTAATGCAAGCACACTACCCATCAATAGGGCATTGCTGGGAAAAGTAAGTGACCAGTAGTCCGGGCAATCAAAGCCTCCGACAATCATGAATCAACTATGCCTCCGGTAACCATGAACCAACTATGAACGAAAAGCGTTAAACTACAAAGCATGGTCTCCACTGACAAATCAAACCCAACAATCACGCAAAAATAAAAATTGTCGCCAGATTTAAGTGAAATATTGCCTGCATATCTACTGGAAAAACCTGCGCCACCCTGAGAGTAACTCAGCCCAACATCCCAAGGAGAAACTCGGTGGCGGTTGTCCAGTTCAGTGTCAGATATTGCCTAGCACTAATGATCTAATAGAGATTACAAAAAGTCCAAATTAAGGAAAAATCTGGAGAAAGGGTTGAGTAGGGTTCAGTCATGAGCTACTTTAAGATTAAGTTTTCAAGATTGCGCTATGAACTTCATAATTTGCTAAGCTGTTTGTAAGATACACATGTTAGAATACACATCTATACAGTAGTCAATCTATGAGATTGTTGGATGTTTGAGGATTTAAGGGTAAAGTTAGCGTTCTAGTTTAATATTGAGGTGGTATGCTAGGAAGTACGTGATGGAATCTTACTTAAGGTGATGGAATCTTGTTTAAGCTGTTCGAAGTGAAGCATAAGATTTCAAAATGTGATAACTTTATACATGAGAATTCAATGAGGTGGTGGCATAGGAGATTGAGACATGCATGTGTCTAATATGAGACTCTTGGAGAAAATAATGATGAAAACTTCTACAAAAATCATTCTATGATTTCGGCGTATAGGGGAATTACACATAACATTATTTCCTAAAAAAATCATCACATAGATAAAAAGGCTTATTAGAGCTCATACATTCAGAAAATATGTTTTACAATACCTTCCAAAAGCATTCAAGGTCTACCGTGGTACTTTGAGTTCTTTGATGACAAGAGTAAAAAGAATGTTGTGTACTTGTTGAAGCACAAAACGAGGCTATAAAAAAATTGAAAGTATCGATAAACATGATAAAAACTCTAACAAGAAGGAGAGTGAGGTAAGATTGAGAAACATATTATATGTAGTATGATTTTCTCGAGAGTAGAGCGAGATTGATGGATTTTAAAGATAGATATAGTCATCATACGATGGAATTGCTAGAAATTGCAAAGTAAGCTAAAAGACAAAGCTATGAGTATGATTGGTCAATCTCGTCTCAAGATACAATTATAATGAGACGCTTTGAAGGTTGCTAGCGATATCAGAAACAGAATAATTTCTTCAGCACATAAGAGAATCACATCAAACGAAGCATGGAGTGGTAAAAAAACTGATCTTGAGAGTGGTTCCATTTTCCACCTTATGCTCAAGAATCAAAGTTCCAAAGGAGGAGAAGAAGGAACTAGGAATACAAGCTTCAAGACACATCTTCCTTAAGATGAATTAGGAATAAAAGGGTTACAAGAAATTTTGTCCAAAAAGTAATACAACACATAGGAGTAGAGATGTATTGGTTCATGAGTAGAATACTTGGGAATGCATAGCAGAAAACAGCAATGAGATTGTTGAGTACACGCAACTTCTTTATCAGAGAGTGTTGTAGGTCACTACTAGACCAAACTAGCATGGCTCACTTAGTGGTAAATTTTGCATAATAAACCTACTGCAAACTTCTAGCTCATTGGGGATGTGTCGAAAGGTGCTAAGGTAACAAAAAGTAACTCACGGCTTGGAGTACATGAGAGTGGAATGTGATCACACTCTCATAGGATTCTGCGATGCTAGTTGGAGAGATAAGTACGAAGATAATGGATGCAAAAGGGAAAATCTGTTTTCTCCTTGTGGTGGTAATATCCATTTTGGGAGCAAACAACATGAAGTCAGTAGCTTTAGTTACAACAATATCTTAATTATAAGGGGGCCAATGATGGATGTTGTGTTTAAAAAGTGTAGAAGCATTTAGAAAAGGATTGCAGGGGGAAGTTTGGGGTTAAGAAATGACAAGTATGGAATGTCTTGATGTTCGAACATAATCCAGTTGACATTAGCAAAATGTTGTGAACTTGGCTATCCCAATCTACTAAAAGTTAATTGGAGTATTGTAGGGTGAGGAAAAATCTAACCCCTTAATCTCATGTCATCATCTTTCATGTGCCTTTAATCACTCACACACCATCAAGTCGATATTTATTCTCGTTGTCTGCCACCCGTAAGCACAGAAAAGATTTAGGACACCTATTGTATACGTCAAACGTGAAGTAGATGTACTTGTACTTGTCTGGATTGTCACATATTCAATGGACAAAACATAAAAGGTTAAGAATTCTAATTCGCAGGTGCAGTTGAAGCATATAATAATCACAAACCATCTCACTATCGCTATTCGTACCTTGTCAGAGTATGTTCTCTCAATGCATATATGATTCTAACTTTGAAGGTAATAGGATGTTATATTGTACATGTTCCAAAACTGGATATATGGTGGCTTAATCTAACCTCAAGCAGTTCTAAACCCTAAACATTAGCAACTTTCTTTCATTGCGGATGCACACTAGAGCAGGAACAGAATTGTCAAAAAGACGTAAAATAAGAGGGCTTGTTTAGAAATGTTCATGTAAGGTAAGACCAACTCAATAACTCTCACACAACAATAACAAATAAACTCTACCATCCAGATTCTTACTGGATGGTAGAATTTACCTAGCCATTACAAGTATTTAACTTTTAAGAAAAACCACTTCTTGGGGAAGTACTATATGTCTGTGCCAACAACGCTTGCAAAAGGAAACTCCACGAGATCTATCCCACAATTTACATCACGTCCAACCGGCTCTATGAATATGAAGAAAGATGTGTTTACTTTGTCTAACTGCGGTTCCAATGTCTCTAGAAGGTTGGATGGCGAGTGAGAGTAATTCGGGTTAACTTATCCCTCAAAACCAAGATGTTTCCGGCAATAAGAATCAAGCGCCACTGGATTCTCTGAAAGATGAAGGTCCAATTTGGAGAGGAAGAGAGAATCTTCTATCCCACAGTTATGTGAAAATCCCAATCAAACATGTTGCTTTAACACTAACTAATTAGATTCTCGTTTAGGCAAAAAAAAGTAACACCTGAAGATGATTACAAATCTGGCTACGATCATAGATAGAAAAAATTTCCAGAGCTAATTTGCATTTGAAAGTATCAACTATCTAATCACATGTAGCAAACCGCGTTGCTGGACGATGAGATTAAGATGATTCACAAGCAGTTGTAAAGTGAACCTTCATAAAATCACCTTCAATCCTAAAAGAGAATCTAAAATTTATGTGGATGTAGGGTATAGATCTCCGGGATAACATGGGCAAGTAAGGTT